ACATCTCTCCTTCCTCAGAAAGAGAGCGAGCCCAGAGCGCAACTTACTCACAAACACAGATATCACGGATACAACAATAGATAAAGGCCACAAAGCGGTCTTCCTACCTGTTTCCTCGTGAGTCTGTGTAAAACGCATCCATACATACCGGAAAACTCATTGTGTCCGCCTCAAAGGAGTAAACTGCTCTATATAAATAGATGGCTTAGAACACAAGAATCTCTTTCTGACAGGCAACAGATGATTCGCTTCCTGAAGGAATTAAAATCTGATTAAATAGCACGCAGCACGCATATATGAGCATACGTGATGTATGCTTGGGGCGGTGCTAAGCGCTATTGGCCAGTAAATTGGCTTGATGGTATAATAAGGGCTTCAGACATTCATCACACCGGAGGTGTTCCCATAGCGATGACGTCATTGCAGCATTGAAGTGAACCTATGAGAGGGAACTGGGAATTTCACATTTCCGGTTGAAACTTTGGTCACCAGATTACATTATTTACGTGCAGTCACGTAATTTTGTTAGCTGGGAAGGCAAGCATTTCAGTTTAATGTACCTTTAACTCACTTTCACGATGCTTGCATAAACGTAATTGTCATAAGAGAAACTTGATGACAGCGCGTTTGTCTTGACGCGGATATGACGTCATGACAGACATGATATTCAGCACTAAGAACAAGCAGCGTACAGAATATGCAATTCACACTCAAGCATAGGGCGAATGGACGTTTTCAAACACGATCTTAGATTTGCATTAGATAACGTCAATTAAATGACTGGTAAACAGAAATACTCTTTTTCTCGTTTCTCCTTTGCAGCGGGCGCGACAAGACACTTCAACATGGAGACGCGTGATATGTGTATGCGTAACAAAAACGAAATGGTTAGCGCGTTAATGTTTAACAATCCCACTGTTAACATGTTCAATGCATGGAAACAGCGTAATGCCACACTCAATACTGTCAAAAACAAAGATAAATTCCTGGGTGTAGGCTTGATTACTTATGTAAAAGATATCAACGTTTAATCAAGCTAGGCATTATGAGCATCATGGCGCAGTTAAAAATACACTAATATTGCAAAATTCACTTGACCCGAGCATTAACAGGGACCCCTTTTTCAATATTTTTACCATAATGTCAAAACTGAAACTAACATATTTGTAAGTGCGACACACATCGTTGGCTTTTATCGTGTACCAGAGATTATAGCAAATAAATGTCTACAATTGTCAATCAAAACACACTATCTATACATCTCTATCGAATATAAAGTAATTATAGGTGGAAATGGAAGAGGATTTAACATTTAAATGTCTTACCATAGTAGGGCAAAATCAAAAGGCAAATTAAAAGATTCTTCATTTTCAATACTAAAATAATAATAAGAATGCTGATTGTATCAAATAAATGCAGTTTCCTTTGCAGTAATGAAGAACCTCTGCAATGCCAAGGTCAACATGGAGAAAAGGGAACCTCCCAGGGCTGCCAGGTCTGCATAATAAAACCAACCCACTGGTAATAAAACTATCCCAATCGCTTTCCATGGGAAATTGGCTATCAAAATCCCTCCAAATTTGCATTCCGAGGGGGTCAAAACCTCCTTTCAGCAGAAAGAGGAGGGAAAAAAGTTTTTAACATGATAACATGATGATAACATGAAAACCGTGGACTTGGCAACAATGGAACCTCCTTAAGAAACTTTGAGTGTAATAAAAAAAATGTTGAATGAATAAATCAAACAATCAATAAAATAAAATAAAAACATTAATTTATAGTAGAATTTGGCATTTTTGAAAACTGTGCAATATGTGCAGTGCAGAGATTAAAAATATTTTTGATCTTGTATAAGCACATTTCCACCAGTGAATAAAATTAAAAAAAAGTTAACTGTTATTTTTTTTTCTCAAAATTATTATTTTTTCAGAATTGCATGATATAAACTGGCAACTTTGACTTTATTTCTCAGAATTGTAAACTCGCAATTGTGAGTTTTAAAGTCATAGTTCCATGTTATAAAGTCAGAGTTGCGAGATATAAAGTCTTAATTTTGTGTTATAAAGTCAAAATTGTGAGATAAGTCGCAGTTACCTTTTTAATTTTTTGTATGTGTATGTATGTGTGTGTGTGTGTGTGTCATTTTCTTTTAAACAGTAGCTCTAGTCTTCCTCCAGGAAATCGTCGTCATGCTCTTCATCTGGTATGTTCTCCAAAGACTGCGGACTGTCAATTTTTCCTGTCAGTAATACCATCACCTGGTCAGTATCTTTATTGGCAGGTCCTCTGCTAGTCTTAAACATCTGCAGCAGTTCATATATATATATATATATATATATATATATATTCTCCCACAACACCTGTAGCGAATTACTATTGTAATGTCCACCCACAGATTTCATAAAACAGTAATTAATAAAGTAATAAAGTATAAGCTGATGATTATTAGCTGAAGTTGTTGTATTGTTCTTGTAGATGTGTGTTCATTTGCATTGAATTAATTACAAATATATTTCCAGCTATTTCTTTTCTTATATTCCACAGATGATCTCTGCAGTCTTCCTTTGTTATTATCACAGGGGCTTTTACCATGATGGTGGCTGAAAAAAAGGGTTACAGAATTAGTCTTGAGTTGTCAAACGTTGCCATTCACAAAAACTGTGATTCACTGATGGTTATTATTTTTTATATTTTACTATGTAGTGCCATTTAATTTGGAGCAAGAGAAACTGCCCAGCAAGCAATTTTGCGTTTAAAATACGTCTATTAGCCGTCTAAACACAGCCCAGACATCTAGGCTAAAACTAGGCTAAATTTGGGCTGTCAGTGAAAATCTAATAGACGTCTAATCATAGCCCAAGAATAGACTAGTCATCAATTAGACGGCTATTAAACGACTACATATATACGTCTAATAGACAGTGAATATGGGTCTAGGCTAAAACAAGGCTGAATTTGGGCTGTCAGTGAAAATTTAATAGACGTCTAACCATAGCCCAAGAATAGACTAGTCATCAATTAGCCCACTATTAAACGACTACATATATACGTCTAATAGACAACAAAATGACAATCCATTGTAAACAATTTTAAGGCTATTTTGGCTATGCTCATCGCTGGTCTGGTTACTGGTATAGGGCTATAGCCAAGCCGTTAAAATTAGACCACAGATTGCCTCGATTTCGCACTGCGGTCAAGCCAGCTACACTTTTTTTACTTGCGCGTGTAATTGTGTACTTACGGTACGGGTGCTGAGAGCAGTCAAAATGCATGTAAAGAAGCTGTCATACTGACGTTTCCTTTATAATTTGCTTATTTTAACTTTTATTTTTAGTTTGTAAATACATTATTTTTGTACATAAACGTATTTATAAATAATTTATTAATGTTTATAAATGTTAATATTAATGTTTTATATCCAGTTTTTTTAATTTAATGTTTGTTTGTGTGTGTGTGTTGACTATCACTGTATTTATTTTCAAGGCATTTTACTGTATAGTTTTGGAGAAAACTAACAGCAAAATCACCCCAAACAACAAAATGCGTCCTGGCACTTGCACTGTGTCAAATTTTCCAACACCCATAAAAAGTGTCCCTTTATAGGTTAGCTCATTCTTTCAACTGATATGTATTCAGAGTGAACCTGACAATCACTGTATTTATTTTCAAGGCATTTTACTGTATAGTTTTGGAGAAAACTAAAAGCAAAATCACCCAAAACATCAAACTCCATTGTTGCACTTTGATTATTTCCGCATATTCCAACACTCATATAAAATGTTCCTTTATAGGTTAGCTCATTCTTTCAATTGATATGTATTCAGAGTGAGCCTGACTATCACTGTATTAATTTACAAGTCAGTTTTGGAGAAAATTAAAAGGCAAATTCACAGCAAGCATCTGAGTGCATAAGCACTTTTACATCACGTCCCATTTTCAAACACTCATAAAAATCTTTCCTTTATAGGTTTGCTCATTCTTTCAATTGATTCCTGTTCACATTGACCCTGGATATTACTGTATTAATTTTCATATATTTTTACTGTATAGTTTTGCAAAAAATTAAAGGCAAATTCACCAAAAGCATCTAAATGCATAAGCACTTTTACATCATGTCCCCTTTTCAAACCCTCATAAAAATCTTTCCTTTACAGGTTTGCCCGTTCTTTTGATTGATTACTGTTTACAGTCACCCTGACTATTGCTGTATTAATTGAACATTTTTTTTGACTGTATGGTTTTGAAGAAAATTAATGGCAAAATCACTTCAAAAAACGAAGTGCATTCTACCAGTTGCACCATTACCCATTTTCAAATTATTTGCCATAAATTTTCTCCCAAACTATACAGTAAAAATATTTGAAAATGAACACAATATTAGTCAGGATCACTGTGAACAGGAATAAATTGAAAGAATGAGCAAACCTATAAAGGAAAGATTTTTATGAGTATTTGAAAATGGGCAATGGTGCAACTGCTAGAATGCACTGTTTTTTGGAGTGAATTTGCCATTAATTTTCTCCAAAACCACAGTAAAATATTTGAAAATTAATACAGTAATAGTCAGGGTCACTGTGAACAGGAATCAATTAAAAGAAAGAGCAAACCTCTAAAGAAAATATTTTTATGAGGGTTTGAAATTAAACGTGATGCAAAAGTGCTTATGCATTTAGATGATTTTGGTGAATTTGCCTTTAATTTTCTCCAAAACTATACAGTAAAATGCCTTGAAAATGAAGACAGTGATAGTCAGGGTCACTCTGAATACATATCAATTGAAAGAATTAGCTAACCTTTAAAAGGAACACTTTTATGAGTGTTGGAATATTGGACACAGTGGAAGTTCTATAGGACGCATTTTGTTGTTATACACACACACACACACATATATACATACATTTTATAAACATTAATAAATTATTTATAATAATTAATGTACAATACAAACGTTTATGTACAAAAATAATGTATTTACAAACTAAAAATAAAAGTTAAATTAAGCAAATTATAAAGGAAACTTCGGTATGACAGCTTCTTTGCATGCATTTTGACTGCTCTCAGCACCCGTACCGTAAGTACACAATTACACGCGCAAGCAAAAAAAAAAGTGCGGCTGGCTTGACCGTGCATTTTCAAAGCGCGGGCTGGCTTGACCGTAGTGATTTCGCCAGGTGGGCTAAAAGAGATAGCTGCTCGGACTACGAGCTAAATCGTGGCTACGCACAGGCTAAGTATTTAACATGTCAAATAAATTAAACCAAACACCTTGTAAACGCTGTTACTTTGCTTACATGATGGAATATCATACATCTCACAAGTTATTTTGCCAAAAAACGACATGAAACCAAATTCAAGGTTATTTGGGCTAGAAGTGGGTTACACGTAGAAATGAAATGACGGCTATTGCTTGCTGGGTGGGGGTATTGTGTCAAAGTTTGGGTCCCCTGTGCACCTGTAAGGAAAGTCATGCTTCATTTTTATATTACCATTCTGGACCTTCTTGTTATAAAACTTGCCTGGATTCATCTGCTCTTTCGTCTATGTGTGTTTGTTCTGACAGCTATTTGCTTAAAAAGTTTATTTTCCTCAGTAAAATCTGCTGTTATTTTTTTACATGGATTTGCTTCTCAGTTCCATACAATTTTAAGTTTTTCTTGGTTCACTTCATGTTTTATAGGCGACCTTGGCCATAATAATTCAAATTAGCACAGTTGGTTTTAAATGAATCTCATTTATTTTAGTTTAGGACTTCATAGTCCAGGTGTTCTGAATTTAATCTCTGTTTCAGAAGGCCATTTTTAAAATCACAATTAAACCTTTTCTGGGAAGATGACTGTTAGTGAAATGTAGGGCGGGAATTGATAAGATCATTGTCGTTTGCTATTGGTGGAACATATGTCAGTGACAAGTTGTCCAACCCTATTGCAGAGACTTGTGTCATCAGGGAAGAGATTACGCAGGCACATAAAAAAAATTATAATAATTATATATATATATATATATAAGAACTGTCATTTTTAATTTCATAGTGACTTAAGAAAAATGACAAAACAAATAGTACAATCTTCTTTAATCATTCCGGCAGCACCTGCTGGTAGATGTTGTAACTGCACACTCTGCAATGAGCACTTTCTTCATTGACTTGAGGGCTATGATTATGATATTATTGTCTGATGTTTTATTTAATGTTGTCTTTTTATCTGTGTAGTTAACAGTTAATGATTTTTGATGGGTATGAGTCCAGTTTGACCTCTGAACTGTGAACTTTCACTTTTCCACTTTTATCAACATTTTTTAAATACCAATGAAATAAAGACACCTTAAAATGACAAGAAATTGTATTGTGCCATCTCAGGCTATGGAATTTATTATTTTATTACTATTTTCTACCTCGTGTTTTGGTATTTTTGTCAACCGTGTTACAGACAAAAGCGTTACTACTATAGTTTAATTAGAACTATGTGATAGTTTTCACATAAAT